ACTTCCTTCCACAAGGACCTAACATGCAAAATCTTGAAAACCCAATTCCCATTCTGCACTTCTTTCTCTCTCTCTTTCATTTTGATCTCCTCATTTTCCTCCACCAAAACGGCGTCGTCAACCGCGATCGCCGGCTCGCACCGATTTTTACCTCCAGTCCAAAGAGATCTAAGTGGGTCCCTGAAAGTAAAACCCCATGGAAAATTCCTTCGCTGCGCTCCCGCCGCCGCCACCGACTTCTCCGACGGTCTTCCACTGGCACTGATCTGAGAAGGATAGCTTGTTAGAACATCCATCCCCGCATAACCCGTGACGGATATTGGCGGCGAAATTCCCTGAATCCCCGCCTTTAAACACAAAACATCCATTGTAAACAACTTTCCAAGAAAATAAAAACGGTTTTTTCTCGATTCTTTGTCTTGCAATCAAACTTTAACGACTCTTCGTGCATTTGTACGTATAAATAGCTGTAAAGAAACAGAGTGTGGGGGGCCAACGTGAGATGCCATCTTTCTGGGCTATCTTTGAATTTTTCGAATGCTATTTTGTGATGAATCAATGAATGCTAGTAAAGAAAATGTAGATAAATTTTAAGAGAGAGTGTTGGAGGTTTCTTGCGCGTTTAAAGTAGTAAGAAAACAGGTGACCAAACTTTACACGGTCTTTTCCTCTCTTCCAGGTTTCTTTTGGGCATTCTTTTACCCGGGGAGAAGAAAAAAATTACGGCAAAAGAGAAATTAAGTTGAATTGATTTTAACTTGATTAGTGAAAATGTGTACCAAATTTATTTTTTTTTTTATATAGATAAAATAATTCTCTAATCTCACTGATATGAGAAAATTAAATTTTAAAAGGATTGAAAACTAAAATCTTAAAAAAAAATGATTTCATTTCTAAATGAAAAAAGAAAAAATCTTATTCTAAATAAGAAAAAAGAAATAAAATCAATCATATGATTGCCCTATATCATACTCCCTCACTTGAAAAAACTCGATTGGTCGAAGAAAGAAAAATAATCAAAATGAACATTTAGTGCTTGTTTGTCTCCCATTTTGAGAGAAGACAGAGAGTTTTGAATAATATTTTTTGGAAAATGTATGGTTGAAAAGTAAAGTAATTTTATTGGTTTGTGTGTAGAATATTTTATTGAGTGAATATGTGCTGTAAATTGTTTACTGTAATAAATAATGTCTAATAAAATAGATGAGAAACAAGGGCTTTGGTGAACAAGTAAATATACAAACACGAGATCTCTATTATATATAATTTTACACGTGTGAGATATTTCAAGTAGAATTGTATGATCAATACATTAAATTAGATAGTAATACAATTTTGAACATCAATAGAGACAATACCAAATAACAGCAAGCACAATAATCACCTTCGATCTTTATAAGGGTTCCTACAAACACCAAAAATGGGTCGAACAACTCTTAGGGCTCAAATACCCTCGACTCACGAGCTAAAACACATTCACTCAAAGGAACCATATCTTTTATATACCAAGAAAGCCTCAAACAGACCTAAGACCACTTTGGAACTAAGTACTTGTTTGGGAGGAATTTTTGGGGGAAGAAATGATTTTGAATAGTGATATGATGGAAAATGTGTGGTTGAAAAAAAAGAAAAAATTATTGATGTGATGGAAAATTTTATTTTATTGAAGAATGTGTGGTTAAAAATGAGAATTGATTTATTGTAAAATTTTGAAAATCCCTCTCAAACAGGACCTAAATGTTTTCACTCACAAAGAATGAACAACGAGAGAATCCTCAAAAGAGAAATAGTAGAAAACACACAACAAAGGCGCCACCATCGAAGAAACAAAAATTGAACAACGTGAAGAAACTAGGGCAACAAATCGGATTTTATACCACATGCTGCAACCCCATGGATCTTCAAATTGAAACGACGTCCCAAATGAGCTCTCTCTCAACACAAACGCACCATTGAACAATAAACGCTAAAGTTGCTACTCTAAATTAACACTTTTAGCAATATTGTACCATGTCAACGAGTGATATTGTGAATCTATTGAACGTATTGTTTCTTCAAACCCAAACACCTGAAGCATATGTTTGAGTTTCTCATTGCCTTAAATTTGTTTGGGATATATCGACCTAGTAAATAGGAGTAACAAAAGGTTTTCTTAGCTAATATTAAAATTCGAACCTCTTATTTTTGTAATCTAAGCAAATATTATAAGTAGACTAGACTAGATTGTTCGATTGAACAATGTGGATTCCAAAGAAGTCAATTAAAAAAGTTGAAAAATCAATTGATTTATCAATTAATTTTAAAAAAAGTAAATTTTCATATAATTTTTTTATACACTCATTAGATTATTTGAATATTGAGGTTATATTATTTTTTAAATTATTATGTGGATGGATTTTTAAAAAATTAAAAGAGGATGAACACAGGACGTCCTTGAGTAAGTTTCCGATTATAATTCGTTGCTATAATTTTAAAATTATATTGGCTGTATCTCAGGTGGATTATGCACTTTGTCGGGATTTTACAGCTCATCAAGCCAATAACAAAGCGCGTGGCTAAAACGTGCCCAAGTTTGAAAAAACTTCTAGTGCCACGTGTATATGTCGTTGATGAACTAAAAGGGTGACGTGACACTTGCGTTCCCTTTGATCGAATGCACGACATTACAAGCCCACCATTGATATCCATGAAAAACATTGTTGTGAATAATGAATTTTTAAAAAAAAGGTTAAAAATTAGAAAAAAAATTTAGCCCTTGTTTGCCCC